CCACGGGGCGCAGGCTGATGGCTCCAGGCTCGCGGCCGTCGAGGTCCCCAGGCTCTGCCGGTGTGGCACCCTCGGCCCTTCCCATGCTGTCTGCCAGGAGCAAAGGCAGAGGGTGAGCCTGGGCCTTGCCCACAGCCCCTGCCTGCCCCGGGCACCCCTGCAGGGACAAGACCCCTCCTGGAGGTGACCCCAGCTTTGACGCCAGCCCAGTGCTGTGCCGGGGCAGGCAGCCAACACCAGTGTTCCCTTGGCACAGCCTGCGGGCAGGCGAGCGCTGGCTGTGCACCCCAGCCCTGCTGCTGTCATCGGAGCAGTTAGCGGGCGCCTGGTGGCCACGATCCCAGACCCTCATTAGAGGGGCTGGAATCTGGCCTTGGCTTGGGGGCAGGAATATGCCACCACCCCAGCATGGGTAGCCTGGGCACCATGGGGCTGGCCCTGAGCCAGCTGGGAGCCAGCAGGCAGGGGCCGAGGCAATGCCAGCTTCAGCCCATGGCATGGCTTGGCTTGCCCCGTGGGCACTGTGCTCCTGTGCTGCTCAGGGGTGCACAGACGGAGATGCAGGGTGCATGCTGTGCCAGGGGGTCCTGGTGCCCACAGCCGAGGTGGGCACGTTCCCCATGGGAAGGAGGGAGCTTTCTGGAAGCAGGCATGGCTCCAGCACTGTGCTCCAGCCATGCCCATGCTAGGGTAGAGGGAAAGGATTTTTTTCTGGGCGTTTGTGCATTTTTGAGCACTGGGCAGGGCCCAGGTGCTATGCCCGTAGCAGAGCAGGGCAGGGTGGCACTGTGCCCACTCCCAGTCCCTCCCAGGGTCAGTAGCATGTCACAGGGCAGTGTGGTGCTGCACTGCTGCTGTCAGGGCAGTGCATGCCGCTGGCAGGGTTGGCAGGCATTGGTACTCGGGGGGCCTCAGCTGGTGCCCAGGGTCCCCCCGGACCCTCATCAGGGCCCTGCCTTTAGCTGGGGGCTGGCCCATGGGTACCTCCATCACCCCTGCATCTGCTCCCCTCCCCTGGCAGGGGGACACAGCTGGTCAGGTAGGTTTGGTACAGGGGGCTGTGCCAGCCAGCTGCCTGCCCTCTCCCCAAACCCTGCTGCCCTGTACCTGCAGCCCTCCAGGACCCCCTTCTTCCCCAGGCAGGCATCTCTGCTTGCAGCCCCCACAGCAGAAGGCAGCATTTGGCCACTGCTTCCATCCCAACCCCATGGTCCCGTGCCACCTAGTCCCCCCCAGGGTGCCAGGGCCCCCCCCAGCCCACTCACCAGCCTACCTTCTCCAGCCTCCCTGGGCATGGCTCCCCGTGCCCTGTGCCTGGGCAGCGTGAGCGGGCAGCAAACCGGTGCGGGGCCTCCGGGAGCTGGGCACTCGGTTCCCGGTGCGCCAACTGTGCCGCTTAAAATAGGACAGTGAGAAACACGGCGGGGGGGGGGGGGGGGATATAAAAAAAGCTGTGGGGAGGGGGGCCTGGCACAACTGCCAGGGCGGCCCGG